TGGTATGGTTTCGGGTCCGCGGGGGGAGTTTGTGCCATGTGACAAGAAAGATCAACGTGTTATGCCTTTTCGATCCGCCAAACACCATGGAATCGCGACCAGAGAATGTGCTTGGCGGAATCTCGGCTCTGACATGCTTTCTTGTTTTGCTGGAGGCTGCTCCCTAACTTCCGTCATGCTTGCAACCTCCGCTTGTCTTTGCAGAAGCACAAAAAGTTGATCTTGCCCCTTGGATTGCTTGACAACAAACCAACAAAGTGACGTTTCTTGTTTCAAGTTTTAACAAAGAAATGGCAATTGACTTATCTTGAAGTAATTGGAGTGATCTGAGATGCGTGGTTGACACAACACTTGTGTTGACCCCATTCCGTCCGCGTTCCAACTCCGTGCGGTAATTCTCTTCTGAATTGAGTTGTTTGGAAATCCAACAAGTATCCAACCCAACCTCTGCTGCAAAAGTTGAAATCTGCGGATGTAAGTTTTGTTGAGCGACAACTGATTTTGCACTGTCAAGTCGCCTTTGACAACGCGGAAACAGCTTGGTTTGGTGCTGAACAAGTTTTCATGTTGTGTTGTTCGGTCGGTTTTGCTTTGGTTTCAGAAAAAATGTTGTGTGCTTTGATCTGTTCTCACTTCGTTTTCCAATTGCTTGGTTCAATCTTGACTTGAATTCGCTTGGTGATGTCGAAGTGGACGGAGAGGTGCTGGCTGCTCGTGGAACAGTTGCTGCAAAAAATCTCAGCCCAAACCCCATGGCAGCGGCTTGCAACCTGATAACTCTGCGAGCACTTTTTTCCAAGCAACTATGACGTATGCGTGTTTGTTCAGTTCGCTGCAAGAAGCACTTTTAAGCCGATCCACATCTTGGACTTTTCGAAATTGGAAGGCTGTTCCCAAACTTCCTCGAGGACGACTTCGTCTTTCTCACCTTCTTCCACATCCAGGTCTTCCACTTCAACCCGAGCAGCTCCAGCAGCAGCAGAGCAGCACCCCCGCATCCCCCTGCACAACAAGCAGTACATCAGGCGCAACCACCAGCACGACGTCTTCCAGTACATCCAGCAGCAGCAGCAGCAGCAGCAGCAGCAGCAGCAGCAGCAGCAGCAGCTCTTCGACGTCAACATTTTCCACGAGCAGCACCAAGAACTTCTTTTTCCAGACGTCAACCAGCAGCACCTCCACATCGACAGCGTCGTCGTCATCAACATCCATGTCGACGTCATTCATCAACATCCACCACCTCGACGACGACTTCGTATTCCTCATCTTCTGCTACATCCTTCTGCTTCAACTTCAACGAGCAGCCCCAGCAGCAGCAGCAGCACCTCCACATCCCGCGGCGCAACAAGCAGTACATCCAGCCCAACCACCAGCACGACCTCTTCCAGCACATCCACGAGCACCACGTCGTCCTCTTCCACTTCGTCTTCCAGTACTACATCCACCACAACAAGCAGCAAGCAGCAGCACGACGTCGACAAGTAGCTTTTCAACATCGACATGGTCCACGAGCAGCAGTAGCACCTCGACGTCGACTTCGTCCAGGACGTCCTCCTCCAGTACCACCACTTCATCTAGCACGGCAAGCGCAACTTCAACCAGCAGCACTTCCACATCGACAACGTCGTCGTCAGCGTCCACGTCGACGTCATCAACATCCACCTCCTCGACGACGACTTCGTCTTCATCAACATCTACTTCATCTTGTTTATGGCACGTTTGACATGGGGTCATGGGGGGTGGCCTGTTTTGGCGAGTTTGCGGCGTGTTTGCGTCAGGCAGGAAAGTGCAGGACGAAGTGTCTCAACATCACCTATTCCACCAACATGTGGCTAGAACTTCCTGGCTTACTTAGGAAAAAGCAACATCCTTCGACCCACACCTGGCCACAAAGCCACCAAATCACCACAGCCGTGGCACAAGCACAATTAGCAACATGAACATGCAGCATCTCGTTTCCACGCAGCTACGGAAACATCGGCAACACCGCAAGCAACATATATATATATATATATATATATTGACATTCACAACATCAAACAGGTGCAATAACAGTGCAGCAACAGCCTTCCTCGAAAGCATGTGACAAGATATTAGTCCACCTTCTTGTCATGTCACAGTGCCCTGCAAGACCTTTTGCACTATTGCAAGAAAAACCGACTTGACTCACATTGCGAGCAAAGAAAACATTTTATCGTCGACGACGTTGCCACATTATGACTACAATTGCCCCGCAATGGGGCTGTGTGTGTGAACTTCCCTAGCGCATGGGAACAGAGGGTCACTCCTTTGCAGTGGGTCTTACACGTAGCGAGCATTTGAATGCGGCAGGGGGGCGCGGCATGTCAGTGGTGCTGTGTCCAACGAAGCTACCGTGGGAAGAGAGGACTGATCATCCTCTTGTACATGCAGGTGCCAACATCAAACAAAACCGGACAGGCCCCCTGTCGTGTCCAGATTAGTTTTTGCAACAACCGTTGCATGTGCATAGTAGTGTGCAACATGCCCCAACCCCACCCTTCTTTGCTTCTCCTGACCTCTTCCCTTTGCCGAAATTCTGCAGTGTGTGCATGTCCTCGCGTCAGTAAAACTTTTGATGAACGGAAGGTGACATTCGACGAACGAGAGTGGGCATAATTTAATGGTTGTTAATATGAAGACACAGGCAATGCTTGGATTGTTGTCCTTTACGCGTTGACGACTTTCCAGAGCTTCGCGGAAATAGATTGACCAACACAGGCATGAGTTTCCACATGTCTGGCATGCTTGCACCAAGAAGCAATTGAATGTTGCAGCAACAAACCAACCAGATTCTCCAGGACATCATGTGTTTTTTTACCGAATTGCTTTAGTTCGGGGATGTACGCTACATGGATGATGCTTTGTTGAAGCCTTCCAAGGCGCCCGTCTCAGTTTGCGGAGCAGTTTACATTGTCATGCCAACGAGCAGATTGTCGATGTTGTTGTTGTTGTTGTTGTTGTTGTCGAGGTGCGATGTTCTGTGAAAGTTGGTTCACCTTGGGTATGGGACGAAGAATGGCAGGACAACACAACATCAATTAGAATTCTTGCACTCGATGTTGTGGTCTTGTTTGGTACGTTGCCATGACCTGTCAGAATATGCAACCCTTGAGGACTACGCCGAAACCAGTCCGGATGTCACCGCGGTGGGAACCCTCGTGGAGGTCAAAGATCCCAAAGCCTTGCGGGCCAGGTCCGGGGCGGTTCTGTCAACGGAGATCCGGCATGCTTTCTGCCCTTGCTGCAAAAGGCATCTGATGAACCTAGTATCCTTTGCAGTGTGTCAGATTCTGGAGGGAATTCCGGGCAGACATGGTCCATGGACCAGACTCAACGAACGAGGACTCCAGAGCCGGAATGTTGAGAGAGAAGATGAATTGTTTTGTCAAGTCGAGGACGTGATCATGTGCGATTTAGCACCAACATTGGAGGCTGTTTTGAGTGGTCATGGGCTCAGAAGCACTTCTGCACAAAGTTACTCGATTGGTGCAAGTGCAGGTACAGATGCCGTTCTGCTTGTGGCTGGAGTTTCCGGTGGAGCACAGGCATCTTTCGTCGGGCTTGCCAGAGGTTGGTGTATTGCTACCGTGCGCACAAAGGCCGACCTAATGGATGGTGCTGAAGGGCTCGCCGCAGCGGCTGTGTGGCAGCTGGCATCGGAGTTGCACGAGCGCCAGGCCAGGGGGGTTCTTGTCTGTCACACACACAGAACAGCATAGAAGAAGTTCGGGAGTGCACATTCGTGAGGTGCCAGAACCAGCCCCCATAAAAGACACGGCCACCAGAGGAAACTTTCTCATCACTCATCCACCCGCGCAAGCAGAGCTGCTGCTTCGATCTGTTTCGTCTGTGGGTGTCCGAGGCGAGTCATCGCGCAAATGGGGCAGTTGGATATACGTACCATATGAGGCACCGAATCTCGTCTCTGCATCCTCAGTCCGAAGCCATGGCAGCCATGCGAAGATTCGATGTGCGAGGTTGCAGTCTTTTCAACTTGCCGGCGACACAATCCTGGACCTCCTCACCGACTCTCCGGAAGCTGCGCGTTTGATGGACCTCCCGCAGGGCGTGATGGTTGAAGGCCGGAAGCTTCCACTGGGTTCGTCTCACAACCAAATCGATTTTCAGTGAGAGGAGCTGGGATTGTCTCATCTCAAACACCTCCAATTGCCTCTAATGCAATCCAGGCGTGCGAACAGCCAGCGCAACATCTGCGGATGAAGCTTGAATGCACTTACTGCCGAGTACTCTAACAAGGCAAGTTGCATGCTGCCTTTCCTGCTGGCTCGCCTCAAATGCTGCTACGGAAATAGATGCCAATTGTTACAGCTCTTTCTTTTGTCTTCTTGTCACGGGTTGCCATGCCAAAGGAGTTCATGAAATATGTCGAAGCCGCGCAGCGACGTCGAGACCCGGAGAAGAGACACCAGACGAGTGCAGTTTTCGTCATCGACGTGACCCAGGTGCGCAGTCGAAGCTCAACAAGGCTTGGCGGATGCTGTTGTTCTAACAGCACAATCCGAACAGGCAGACTACTACGAAGGATGGGGACTGCACGGGCGCTTCGTTCTTCTGGAGTCAGCCGTCATGGATTGTTTAGCAGAGGAGCGTTGTGAGGGGGGGCTGGACATATTTGCGAATGAGACTTGGCGGGGTTGTTCGATCTACATTCCGTCTGCGAGGATAAAGGTCTCGTCCAGCTTCGCGAGGGATACGATCGCTATCGCGGGGTGTTACGGCTGAGATTCCTGTGTATGGCGCCAAGTCAGTGTACTTCATTCTCCAGCTTTCCTTCGATGCCGAGGTGTACCACATGCGCAGCTTAGTCAAGTCGTGGAGAAGCGGTGAGCCTGGAGACGTGAACGGTTCCTACCTGACCTGGCTTCTTCGTGATCTTCTCACAGGACGGGGAGAGAACAGGATTAGAGCCGGTTGGTGGAACATGCATTCTTTTTGCTTTTTGCGCCCTGCAGGCGGCAGTGTCGAGGCTCATCTCCTCTTCTGTGTCGCTCAGGGAAAGCCTTCGATAAGTATAGTTCTCAGCCTTGGCGGCGAAAGCAGCATGGCTGAATGGTTCGTTGGACCTGCCGCACGCCCGAGCGAGGCATAGCGCTGCTTGAATTCATGGAAGATTTCAGCAAGATACATACTAATCCAGCTGCTTGGCAATTGCACTCTAGTTGGGCAACGTGTCACGATGATTGACGACATCGCTCTATGGTTTTGCCAGGTAACACAGGACCATCGAGTTGCGGGATGGGCAAGAGCAGTCCGTTCCGAGCGCTTGATGTTGAAGCAGGCCCATTTCCGAGCATGTTTGGCAGTCTTGGCATGTGCTGAACTTGTTGTTAAGACTCGGAAAACAAAGGACATTTTGTGTGTTGTGCTGAAGATTTGTCATCAGCATGTGCGGGAGATGCTAGGCACTGGAGCGAGGAGGGGGTGGCGTGGATCGTGACACTCGGAGCTTGGTTTTGGAGCTGGAAAAGCGCCTCGCCAATGCTGAGAGGCGAACTGGCGAAACACGGGAGGCGAGGTCAGCTTAATGCAAATGTTCAATCAATGTCAATGCAGGCAGAAGGAGGAAGCCCAAAGACTGGCGGATGCAGCTCTGAGTGCAAAAAAATATGCCTGCCGTATAGACTTTGAGGGGACGATGCATGTGCGCTCACCTAGGCTCGCCAAGACAGAGCAAACAACTTCCAGGAGAGCGTCAGTCCAAAGCACAGTTGCGATGCAGCCTGCCGCTTCTTTTCAGGACCGGTACGTTTCTGCCTTGGAGAGTCAGGAGGGGGGCATTGCGGCCGGGATTTGCAGGGCTCCAGGGACTCTAACATGATGTGAACGCAGGAGTCAATGAACGAGAGGTTGATGTCTTCCGAAGAGGAGCAGCTGAAGGCGATGCAATCACTGGTCCTGGCCCGAGTCGCCGAGCAGAGAGGGACGCCAGCTAAGCTCCGCTTAAACCGCTTGGAGGTCGAGGCACAGATCGAGGCCTCCGAGGCCAAAGATGAGTTGAGCCTATGGACCAACACTTGGCAATCGACACGCACTGGATGGCGTCTGAATAACATCGCCCAGGTGAGGTGCAATACACAGACAACGTTCTTCTAATGATGCTGGAGCAAGAGGTCGCAGAAATGAAGGACGTTTGCGTGAGTGAGAAGGGTTGGGTGCTTGGGTTTCAGAAGATATTGGCGCATGCGGGCGACAAGTATACCTCCCATCGCAACTTGAGATCCGGGTTCAAGTGGGGCACAAAGCTCAGACAAACCTGAGAAGCACATCCTCGATAGCTGATGCCACGAGCTGGGCTGCCGTGCCAAAATACTCCGAGAAGCAAACGAACCCATGACAGGAATCTTCTGACAAGACGAGCGCCGACCTCACGGGCAAGCAGGCCCCTCCTTGTAGAAAGCTTAACGCCGTGGAATGGCTGCGGGCTTTGCATAATGATGCTTTGTTCTATTTCTTCTTGTCTGTTCTGTTCGCTTCCGTCTGCCCTCACCTCAAAAGCAGAATTTTCAAACGACGTGTTTGCTAATCGGCCAGATTAGAATCTTGCTTGCCGGAGATCTTGGAAGCTTACTTCTCTCGCCAACGAGAGCCCACGCCGACAGAACCCCTTCTTCGTTTCGGTTCTTGCCAGCACGTGTTATTGGCAGGCCAAGAAACTCCAAGATGCAGAGGCTCTGGCCGAGGAGATCGGGTTGAAATGCTCCCACTTCTCTTGACCAACAGTTTTGAGCTTTTCGTGTCCGGCCAAGATTTCCTGTCACAGGATCTCCGTATGCGCTTGGATGCGGCATCAGAAGCCAAAATCCAAGCTGAGATTCAGAAAGAAGTGGAAAAAGGCTCTTTCTGCATCATACTTTCTGACCTCGCGGCGTTGAGACCCGCAGGTGATCTGGAGAATCGTGTCCAAGCACTTCGACTGGAGCTTCGAGAAGGGCGCTTGGAGGATTCCGTGCAATACGCGGAGGATGGGGCCTGTCAGGTCGCATTTGGTTCGTGCCAAGTCACAGCGTGCAGACAGTGAGCCTTCAGCCTGAAGTCTATCTGAGCGGCTTTGACCGCCAGCGTCCATTTGGTCAGAGGAGCGTGGCAAGATTCAAGAGACTGTTCGAGAGGAAGTGGAGCGCCTCAGGTGGGCAAGTTAATGACCACTAGGACACTAGGATTGGATGTTCTTGACTTCATGGTTGTGCCAGGGACGTACTCTTCCTCGCATTTTTCGTCGATCAAGCCTTGAGGTAGAGAGACGGCTTTCTTTGATTGGATAGGTCGACCACGAACTTTGCGCCGACCCCCCCCCCCTCCCCCTCCCCCCCCCACTCCCCCCCTGCCCCCCCACGGTTTAGGGTTTAGGGTTTAGGAGTTTAGGGTTTTAGGGTTTAGGGTTTAGGGTTTAGGGTTTAAGGTTTGGGGTTTGGCGTTTTAGGGTTTAGGGTTTAAGGCTTTAGGCTTTAGGTTGAGGGTTTAGGGTTGGGGGGGGCTTATGTTACCGTGCGACCGTTAAACAATGACCGTGAAACAATGACCTCTGTTTGATTGGAGTTAGCCAGGTAGCAAGTTTGTCGACTGGCACAGCCCAAAGCTTCCCGGCTCCCGGCTGGAGGCAGGCTTTGGAAGACGAGCGCAGCCGGGCCCGACAGATCCTTGACGATGGGCAGTTGCAGTTGATACAATCTCGCCATCAGTTCCAGGAAGAGACGCTTGGCAGGCACATGACTTCACAATTCACCGTCCAAGTGCTCGTAGTTTCATAGTCACAGTCATAATCATAGTCATTATTCGCCGTTTGAGGCACATGGCTGAAGCTGAGAGATTGGTAAAACCTGTGGACTGGCCAGGAAAGGCAAAGCTGCATTGCAAGCCAAGCAGGACAGTGCTGCAACCAGTCTGAGCTATGCTACTTCTTGACTGCACAGGAGCTGCAAGAGCTGCAGTCCAGCAGGGATTCACAGCTTGGCGAAGTGCAGACAGAGCTTGCGGATGTTCAGAGGCCGCCGAACTCAGACTTGCCGACCATCCCAATGTGTATTCGGATGAAATTTGCGGGATCTTGGCACCGTCAGGAAAGCAGTGTTGGAAGAAGAAGAAGTCAAGCTTCTGTTTTGCACTATGTCAGTTTCTTTCCACGATAACTAATCTGTGTCTCGTATGTCTCAAGACGGGAACTCATGGCCTCATGAAGGCACGCGGAGCCAGACACGAGATCACATCGCTCCGCACCCCCGTTGCTAAATGTTGCTGCCGAGCATGGGAGAAAGGCCAACACGGGCCAGGAATCAAGCCCTCGCGATCGTTGGTTGTCAGGTATTTAGAAGGAGAAGCTGGTGAGCGAGGATATGTTTAGCTTGTGTAAACCGCCTGTGTGCCGTCGCCAGCTTGACACATGAAGTTCAAGGTCTGTGAATGGTGTGGTGCACCGTTCAGCAAGAGGCCGCGTCTACGAAATGCCAATAACTGTCAATAGCCATCGCCATCGCAACGAGGGTCTGGCTGGAGCACATTCTAAGCTCAATTCGTCCACACGGCTCGGTGGGGAGCCTGAATCCTTGCCCGTGCAGCGAAGCAGCGAACACAAGAATCTGCAAAAGTAAGATAAGTTCTGCACTGAGCAGTTCGGCTCTTCTACGTCAGTTTCTTTTTTGACGTAGCCGAGAACTCACGCACAAAGTTTGAGCTGCTCGATTGAGTTGGCAAGCTCAATCCAACTTATTTATTTTCGGCATCCTTGTGCACATGGGAACACAATATTGACGACTGAGAGCAAAGGGTTTCTGGAACGTCGCCCGCGAGCCGGTTCAGAAACACGTGCCGTCAGAAACATCTCCGAATCATGCTCCCGCCGCTCCTGCTGCTGTTGTAGCTGCTTCTGCTTCTTTTGCGGTGTGCTGGTTTTGCTGTACAACCGCAGAGCCCTACTGAGCATGCAGGGCCCGAGCCCTGAGCTGCAATGCTGTTTGGGGTGTGCCAACCAAGATCTTCTTTTGAGTTTCAGTACGGTTCGCCAACGTTTTAGGGCTTGGGGGCTTGCCAATTCCACATTTCCGATCATCAGGCAAGGCTGGGGTTTGCAAACCAATACAGTATCTTTTTCTTGTGGGGTTTTGGGTTTGCCAGCCAAACATCTCCGTTTGAGGTTTCAGGCTTGCCAGCCACTAACCAACATCCCCGGATCGAGGGTTTGCCACCCAACATGCAGGCAAAGCTACGGTTTCGGATTTTCCAGCCAGTGCCTTCTCGTTGTTTCGTTTGCTGATCCCCACATCTCACTTCAGGGCCTGGTACTCGCCAAGAAACATCTCATTCCAGGGTTTGGGTACTGGCAGCCTGCCACCTGACACAACTCGCGTACTATGTAGCCGGGGAGCTGATTGTTCTTTTGGGTGGGGGGTTCAGGACACGGAGGGGAACGACGCGGAATATGGAGGCATCGTCTGTATTCAGGAAGGCTCTTGCTGAGCTCAGTTGACTTAGCCTGTAGGTGGGATTAAAAAATGGAGGATTCTTCCATGCTTTCACAGGAAGGTTTGGCCCGCCGTGCATTGATCCTGCCAATCTGACTATTGTAGTGCAGCCGAAGACTCGAGACTTCTCTGTCGTTCAAGCCGTGGCCAGTTTTCTTGAATCGCTCCTAGTGCTTTGCGAATCTTCGCCCGTGTTTTCCGAACTTGCCTCCTGGGTCTTCCGGAATCGTTTGCTGAATTTCTGTTCAATATGGGTCCTCCTTGTTTCCGAATCTGTCCGCATCCGAAAGTCATGTGTCGCGGCTACGGCACCATGTGCACGGTGTTTACACGGCTTTGCTTTCACGCAGTCACGGAACTGAGGCGACTGCAGTCTGCTGGGAAGGAGCTACAGCAAAGCTTGCAAGCGGAGCAGGTTTCCGAACGTCAAGCACGGGAAGAGCTTCATGTGGTGAATGAGTCTTCGCAGAATAAACTTGCGGCAGAGGTTCCGGAGTGTTTGTAGCCCGGCCTTCGGCTGTTTGTGTATGTCGGTCAGGAGTGTCAGACCCTTGAAGCCATAAGGACGAGCTGCGAAGTGTGCGTTCCGACTTCGAGCAGCAGCTTGCGCAACTGGCAGCCAAGCCATCTGGAGGTTACTTGATTGCAGATCCAATCAGAAGCACCATCAGCTGCTTGCTGGTTCCTGTCTGCGTGCGGAGGTTGACAAAATGGTATCTTCATTTATAAGTCTGTTTGTCCCACCCTGCAGCCTGTAGAGTTCAAAAATTGCCACTCACCATTTTGCACTTCCCATTCCTGCGAGGGTTGTGTGGAGCTGGTGTGCAAGGCTTCTCCGCTTTAGGGTGTGCAACTCCTGACTTCTTTTGTGATTCAGGGTTCCACTTCTTCGCGTCTAAATTCACAGGTCTAGGCCTTGCCACCAAGTTCTTCTGCCGCCGGATCACGCCGTTCATTGCCGCAACCCTCTGCAGGGTTTGTTCTTCTCACAGGGAAGAGTTTTTCCTTCTCACCCCCGCTCAATCCTTGTAGGGTTCAGGCCTTGACAGTCTTCATTCCCTTCAGCGTTGAGGGTTCGCCTTTCTGTACATCTCTTCGATGATTAGTTGGTCCTGCCTCTTTTTTTGCCAGTTTGCGGTGTTGCATGTCGCGTCCGTTTAGGGTTTGCTGTATGGCTTGAGGTTGCGACACCTCAATCTCTATTGGATTATCCCATGCCCCGTGAGCTTCGGTTATTTTTTCTGCGTTTCGGGCTTGCAGGTTAGCTTAGCACACCCCGTTCCTGTTTAGGGGGTGGCCCTCATCCCAGGTTACAGCGAGGATAGGGTTGAAGAGGCTATGGCCGCAACCAGCCTTATGCCTCCGTAGCTCTCCTGGTCCGAGACATGGCTATCTGAAGATCGTTTGCCAAGTGGGTTTAGGTTTCGTCGTTTTGATCTGATGCCCGTGCTGAATTGGTGCTTTCTGTTAGCTGCTCTGCTCCGCCTGACGTGAGCTACCCTCTTGCCGTAGCCCGTCTTGTGAAACTTCCCTGCGAACTTTCCATATGCCAACCTCAATCTCCGGTGGGGGGCCGGGCCCTTCAGTGGCCGACGTCATTTCATTTTTAAAAAGTGTTCGTCCGGACGTCGTCGATACCGCATTGAGTCATGTTCCGGCCTGCGTTCTGGGACAGCTCCAGGTCAAGGTCTCTGAATCTTTCTTGGACTGAAGCGTGTCGGAGTGAGACGCTACATTTACCGGAAGGGAGTTCGCCAGCATGCCCACAGTGCACAACGCAAAAGCGAAACAGTCGCGGCATGACATGTTGTATTATGTGATCCAGTGATCCCACGTTGCAGCGACAACATCACAAAGGGCCGAAATGCCAAATGATACACACTTGCGTTTTGGATTTAGCTTCCGGTCTCCTTCAGAAGCTGAGAAGCTGGGGTTTGCACGTCTGTCACTCTTGCTTGTCCTTCCCTATTTATTGGGGTTCGGGGTCTGCCAGTTCGCATTCCGTCTAGGCAATCCCTCAATTTGGTTCGACGTGCATGTGCAAGCTGTAATTGGAATAAACAATTTGACGAAAGCTAAGTCACCCCGCAAGCCATGCATTCATTTCTGCCCATCGTGCACGGTGGACGAGTGCTCGTTACCAACTGTAAGATGATTGCAGACAGCGCATCGGATGTTTCATCTTGTGGTGTTTCGGAGGCTCCGGGAGTTGGCCGGCGACGCCGCCACTCGGACCCCCTACACGTCTCGAGCTGCAAAGTCTCTGTCATGAGATGCGACAAGGCCCGACGCTCGGCAGGGAGCCTTGGATCCCGGGCGACTTACACAGTCGTCCCGGCATGTGACAGTTCAGCAAGGCAACATGACCAAATAAGAAAGGGTCCTGAGTTTGGAGTTCCGGTAGGGTGCTTTCAGAAGGATCCGGGCGCAAAGACGCCGCCGTTGTGCCTCTTGAAGGGGCCTGTGGATTCCACTTTTGCGTGCTTGGAGAAAGGATAGCTACTTGAACATCTCCAAGAAAATCTCCCTCCGTTCCTCTGTGTCTCCATCAGTCGGTGTCGATCACTTTGTGGGTGTGGTAGTTGGGCCAGGATCCAAGACCGGCTTATCGAAGAGGCTGACGGGAGCTCTGCAAGATGCAGCATCGTGGTCATTGTCGGCAGGTTCAGGCCCTACGAAATGCCAACAGCTTCGCCGCGAACGCATCGGCAAATGTCAGAACTGGCGTGTTGCGAGTGTGAAAATTATGAGCTGGCGTCCCTTAAGTGTCGTCGCCCGCCAGGCTGACCTTCAGGAGCAAAATCGAGCGCTGCAGGTCAGCGGGATGTCAGGGAATGATGAGAAAAAGTCTTAAGCTGTTTGTCAGAGAGGCTCGGGTCGCCCTCCTCGAGCAGCAAAGTCCTGCTGACAGGCGAGTGCAGGCGCTGAATGCAAGTTCAGGGTCACCTGCGGATGCGAACATCAGAGAGCACCTCTCATAGCACCTGCCGTTCAGGCTCAGCGTTTGGCTTTCCTTGAGAAAAGCGTCCGTGATCTTGAGGCTGAAAGGCGTGGGATTTCGTGGACAAATCGATATCCGGTCAGTTTTTCATGAGTCGATCCCACCCTGTGCAGGTCAGCACTTTTGGTGCGGGCAACCGTAGCCGAGGAGCAGTTAAAGCAGCTCCAGAAGCATTTGAAGGCCTCGGACGTGCCGAAAATGGACTTTGATTGAAGTCGTGCAAGTCAAATCAAGTTTCGCCAGGAGATCACTGAGGATTATCAGATGCAAATCCTCAGCTTGAAGATGAAGGGGCGAGGTTAGACCGAAGCACCCTCTGGCTGCCTGAGTGAAGTGATTCCAGATTTCCCTGTGCATCATGCTGTGCATACGACGCAGAAACAGCTGAGAAGACCTTGGCGTTTCTGCGATCACGGGCGACGCGAATAGCGGCCCATAGTTTTAATGCTGAAATACTTCAGCCAAAGCACTAGGTGAGGTGACACTCAGGAGGCAAAATCATGAGTTCATGCGCTGATTGGCCTCTGCTGTATTCTGAGTAGTGACTGTCGCTGCTTGGTGATGAAACCTCCGATGCTCCTGTTGTTTCCTTGCATGGCAGCTCGAATCACACCTGGCAGGTCTGTCGACAGCATGTGTTCCTGCCAGTCGTAAGACTGCAGAATCCAGCCATCTCCTCAAGCTCTGACAAGTCATGATGGCACGAAAAAACTGCGCAGAAAAGCAGGCAGTTGGAGCTGGTAGATGAACCTGCGTAGCTCCAGACTTTTCGGATCGGCAAAGGCAAGACGCAGCAGGATGCAACAGGCACAGGTCGGCACAAGATGCAAAGATGATGTTAACATCCTTGTAGAACTCTCGCATATGGGCGGGCAGGCAAGAGGGGCTCACACGAGACGCAGCGAAATCTGATGTCATCGTCAATGTGTGGCCCAAGATCCTGCTAATCTTGACATCCAAGAGCAGTGCGGGTCTATTCCCGTCGGGATCTGACGGCAGAGACCGGCATGACTGAGCAAAGTGTGCGGCATTTCGAGCCGACTGTGCTTTAGCTTGGCTATTGTCCTTGAAATCTGTTGTCTTCGACCCTGCTCAGCTCACATGTGGCTGCTGCGCGAAAGAGGGCAGCATCATCGACGATCGCCAGGACCAAGATAGCAGCATCCAAGTGCGCCTTCTCGTGATCTTATGTGCACCATGTGGCCTGGTCTCGTTTGGAGAGAGCTGCTTGCAGGACTCGCGAGCATTCTTCTGCAGGATGGGTTTCTTGCATGGGAAGCCGGGAGGGTTGAGGGCTTCTAGGGCTAGGTGCTCGAATCTAAAACCACACAGGCTTCGGCCATGAGCGCAGCATGCCTCTTTTGATTTTGCACTTTCTTCGCCGACACCACCGTGCAATACTTTCGCAAGGAACTTAAGCCCTAGCTTTGTGTTTGCTGCGCAAGGAGGATAAGCAGGTAAGGCTGCGTGCTTCGGCAACCGCAGAGCTCTCGCCCGCACTCGGCAAAACTTAGCGAAGTACACGAGCCACACAGTTGCAGGAAGGGGCCCGACTCTAAACATCTCCGCGACGCTTTCACTGATGCTCGAGTTGCCCGTCAGAGTCGGTGCATCACTCTTCAAAGCAACGAGGTGTGTGTGCCTGCAGTCTGCACGCTGAATTCCACATGCTGTGCCTTCGCTATTGGATGGATACTAATGGGGGCAGCTGTTTTAGCCGTTCTGGTCTGGAAGGTTGCTTGTTTAGTCAGTATAGTATGTAGTAGTATTATTAGGGGTACCCCTTAAAGGGTACCCCTTCTGAACCCTACTTGTGGCTCTCTTAAACGGGACCTTATCGAGAGGGTCTATATCCCCAAGGGTCCCCCTAATCCTAGCTCCCAGTATAGCATAGTATATTATAGTTTAATACAGCATAGTACAGTAAATCATTATGCAGAAAAATCATACATCAAAAAGCTTCTTTCAGTCAAAATGTAGTGTAACATAGCATAACATCATGTAATATGCGATAGTATCAAAAAGTTCGCCTAATATCAAAGACTCACATTCGATGTATCATATAACATAATGTATTACAATATACGAAAACTCAGCAAAATGGCAAATGAGCATCCGTCAAATCTTCCGTAGTCGTAGATTTGGCCAAAACCCTCGAAAGGCTATAGGACCCCCAAAAGCGACACGGTCAACGAATATCATCTTGTGTGACATTTCATTGCTGCTGCCACATTTGTGCCTCTGATTTTTACGTATGGTATGTGTCTAGGCGATCGTTACTCCAATCGATACCCACCAGATCGGCTTATGAGCCACTGCCCAATCTGATGGAATCATAGTTGCCGTTGCTCTCACTGCTGTCGCCACACCATTACGACGACTACTATTACCAATATAGCTATTGCGTGCTACTACTGTTACTGTCACAAGAATGAAGCGATACCCCACTGAAAGAAACAGGATATACAGGACAGATCCTCGTAAAGCTTTAGGGCCCTCCTAAATCATCCATGACCAGGCCCGATGCAGTAAACTGCTCACCTAAGGTTGTATCACATCGTAGAAGATACTATCATTTCTTACAATACAAAACCATATACAGCCACTTTAATATGATATCGTCCAAGGTAGTATCGCATAATGTAGTATCATAAGATATGAGGCAGTATACTGTACAATAATATGGTATAACACAGCATAATGCACTATAGTATTACAATATTGTTGCACTATGTTATGTTATGTTATGTCATGTTATGTTATGCTATGATATGTTATGTTATGTTATGTTATGTTATGTTATGTTATGTTATGTTATGTTATGTTATGTCATGTTATGTTATGTTATGTTATGTTATGTTATGTTATGTTATGTTATGTTATGTTATGTTATGTTTTTTGTTATGTTATGTTATGTTATGAGTTGTAACAAAATTCATTTCATGTGTTGTGATGTTGTATTTTGTTATATTACACTACATCATACTATACTGTATCATTATATTATATTACACTATGTTTCAATATACCAGAATATATCACGTCATGCTATACTATATATTTTTAATTTTTGTTATGGTATGCTATATCATATTATGTTATATCACGTTTTATCATTTACAATATTGTATGTCATATCTCGCATGTTAGTAAATTATGCATAATATTTTGAGTATAGGGTATAATATCCTATACTGTATATTCTATACTATATATTATCTATTGTTTAATATATGTGTACATGATATGTATATATATATACACACATTTAGGTTATGTTTTTATGTCAGGCAAAAACTTCTTATATCGAATATTCTATATAGCATTTTGTCAAATCATATGTTGCAGTAAATGAACTTTTTCTGTACAGTTTTCTATCACATCATATTATCTTACATCATACTATACTATATACTACTGCAACTGCATTGTCCTACATTATACTTTATGATAATACATTACATGATACTGTATGCTTAAATAGTATGATACAGTTTAGAAATGAGATATAGTACAATACAAAACACTATAATAGAATTTAATGTAAAAGTACAGTATCGCAAAAAAACAAACAACAAATACTATATTATACTATAATACCAGAAAATGCACCGAAATGTAATATAGCATAACACACCTAATGCAATAGAATACAATATATCTCAGTATTCTAAAGCTTGATACAGTATAATATGATTCAGTATGATATTGCATACCACACCACAATATGATACAACACTTCATGGTGGTACGGTATGATATGGTATGATATGACATGGTTATCATAGCATCAGGTAAGATAATGATACTGCAGTATGATACGATACAGTAGACTACAACAAAGTATGACAGAACAAATGTTTTCACATGACACAACATGACATAGTGAATCCCATATGACATAATGAGATATATTACAGAAGAACGAAGCAGAAGACAATTCAATAGAATGAAAGCCTTTCGGGTAGGTTTCGCAAGCTGTCTTGTGGAGAGACCTGCATGAACTGCCTGATGCGTATACCGTATTGCCTGCACGCCCTCCTCTCCCCGATCACTCAGGGCAGCACGGCAAGTGAACACACACGGGGCAACACAGCTGCACAAAAAACCAAGACAAAGATCTCCACCCTTCTGGTTTTATGTGCAGTGCCGCGTGTCGAAAAATCGCTCCTGGTGTGGGCTGGGATTGGGCTGGGACTTGGGGTCACCGTGGATCTTACGGGCACACTCCAAGTGTTTTCCACAAGGATTGGTTCCGTCCAATGTCACAGACTGTGTCCCAAACGACTTGCCCTGCTATGAGAGATCTTACGCACGGGACATGACATGTCAGTACCGGAGATTGTATTCAGAACGTCCGCCTGTGCATCTGCGGGTCCGAGCACGGCGAGCAGACGTGAATTGCTCGGGGTCTGAGTTGCTCTGCTGCTGTTGAGGAAGCCATGCGGCCTGGACGAGCTAGAAACAGACTTCAGCTGCGACCCGGCTGGTGCCTTCTTCGAAGACACCTTGACATCAGCGTCTCTCAGCGAGATGGCACTTTCCTCAGACTCGTGGTTGTAGGCCGCTTCGGACAGAGCGGTGGCCAACTTTTTTTATTGTCGACTGCTTGCTTGTAGGTTTCAGTTTTCTAAGTCACTGCCAGTACCGGTACCAGATGCGTAGCTGCTCTCAGGACCGGGTCAGCTTCAGATTTGCAGGCCAACCGACGCGGCTTCAGGTCGTGTGGTCGTTTGTGACTGTTGGCAGGCTCATCCAACTTGGCCGGCCTTCGATGGTGTTTCGTTTATGGCGCCAATCCCAAGGTGCTGCCAGACTGCCTTGCTTACCACTGTGACAGCGAGTGGACGGCTTGTCGCAGGCCTGCGACAGCAACGGCACAAGCCTACTACACGCTGCCGCCAGAGGGGGCAGCTATCAAGTTGTTAAGGACTTCGTCTTGTCATGGGTCGCACATGCTGCTTTCGAATGTCATCCAATTTCAAGGACTTGGTCCTTCGATCGACTGATGTTAATGCCGTCGATTGTGCGGGCCCTGCATGCATCATGGGCTCATGTCCGGGGTGACGGATTGCCAGATTTATCCTCCAAGAGGTTGCTGTTGAGGGCCCCAACGTTGATGCGGGTTCGTGGAGGTTCGCAATCACGGAGAGGTGCACTCTCCTAGCTACGTTGGCTCTTCTGGGTTTCTCGGAATAGGCTGACTGCCGCAGTGCAGGGGTGAGGAGCAGGAGGAAATGGAAGAAAGAGCATGATCTGGCAATGCCTGTGACAGTGTGTATGTACGACGATGCAGAGAGCGGAAGGATGGAGGATTTCAGGCCGTGTCCCCGCTCAACGGTATCCGGCTTCTGAGGTGCTGGATGGACACCGCTGCACGTGGCCAGCTGCATGGGCCGCCAGGCAGACTGCAGTTCAGATGTTCGGATGTGGCGTCTCTGCGAGACTTTGTGCAAACAAGCTGGCAACTGCTTCCTGTTGAGATTTTGGGTTCGAACTTGAATGAACTTGATCCACAGTCGTCCGGGCAGGATGTGTCTTTCTACCTGCTGCAAGCAGGGGCGAAGTCCAGCAAGACATCCAGGCAAAGGAATTCAAAGCTTTTGCTCCAGTCCACACGGCTGGACTGGCCATTGATCATGCTTCGCTTCAGGGGTCAGACACCGGAAGACCTCTGTAGCCACCCTCACACCAAGGAGGCCGGGGCGAAGCCAGGCTATTCATTGATCGAGCTTGGCAAGTAAACTTCGACTCGAGTGTGTAGGTGGTCATCGGTTTCGAGGAGCGCCGGCCCAAAGTGGCGAACACACTCAGTGGCCAAGGGGCGGTGTAATGCCGTGCACGTTTGGTGAAGCTGTGGCATGCCGGGGCATTGCGAGCAGCCCTGCTTGAGGTCGGACTGCCGACGCGGAGCATGCCAGCCTTCGATACCAGAGGCGTTCTTGATGTAGTTTTTTTTTTTTCTTTCGGTCAGTGTTCTGGTGGCACGGGTGCGCAAGCCAATCGGGGAAACTTTGCGGGCATGGAGAATCGAGGCGGTCGTGTGTGCTTGGGACCAAACCTCGGCCTTGCCAGTCCTCTCAGAACTCCGAAAGAGCACCGTCCGACGGCGAGGGCTCAAAGTCGGTTTGGAGCTTTCCGGAGGCTTCTAAGACTAAATGCTCGTGCCGAAAGCACATGGGTGCAGGATCCGCCGACACGATGTTCTTTTCAGAATGCACGGTTTCTAACAGCAGCAGTGTGTCTCGTGTGTTTGCCGTAAATTCGTTTTGTGTTGCATTCTGTGTGAGCCGCACTTGAGACCCGGCACAGTGGCCACGTATGGTAACTCTGTTTTTGATAATGCCAGGTAATTCTGACAAGCGAGTTTCGACAGAAGCACCGGCCACGCGAAATACATGTAACGGTTTCGAGCCTTCGGGCACCACGGCAGCCACGCAGAATATGTTTCTCCATGAAAACAGTATAATCCTTGTGAGCCTCAAAAGAAGAGGCATGCATTCTGTCTGCAACCGTGGTACTTGGATCGATGTGATCTCGAAACTCCTAAAACAACAAACTCGCCGGTCGTGGATACCCGATAATGCCTGCATCGGAGGCTGCACGGGGCTTTGGCACTAAATGCGCAGAAGGTCCTGGCCAGATGGTGGCCGAAAGTATCAGCACCTCCTCACAACCACGTGAGACCACAAAAGGTCATGCACGGCCAGGCTTCACCGATACTGACATTGGCCTCCGTGAGTGCGATTGTCATCCACTGCTGTCCTCCGTCCAGCCTTGCAAGCTGCGGCTCTTCGCCCCTCTCCTTCATGTTTGGGGTCTCCGTATACGACCGACCCGAGGACAAACCAAGTCTCCGCAGCAGAGCCAGCGTCGGAGCGAGAAACCAACCACGCAGCGACAGAAACTAACTCTGTAGCACCGGGTTTGTTTCCGGTAGGAGAAACCGGCTCCCTCAACAACTTTCGTTTCTTTGTTTTTGGAAGAACTTATGTTTTTCTTTGCTATTAATCTCCCTGAAGCGAATATATTTTCTGCAGAAAAACCAACACCCCCCATCCACCGAGTTTGTTTTTGCAGAGAAACAAACTCCAACAAACAGCTTCGACACTTCTCCCGGGGTCGCTGAAACAAGCAAACTTCTACCAGCAGATTTCTTTTGTTTGCCGCTGAACCAAACTCACCTGGCCGGACTTTGCTTTGGCTGCCGAAGCAAATTCGTCGAGCCAGGGCTTTAGAGTTAGTGTGTTTCCCCCCGCAACTTTCGCAGCCGGAGTTTGTTTTTCGTAGCCGAAACAAACTCACATGGTCGGAGTCTGTGTTTGGCCTCCGAAACAAACTCGTCGACCCGCAGGTTCCGAGTTAGTTTGTTTCTCCCCCCCTTCCGTTAGTTTATTTTTTAGGCAAGCAAACTCCTATCCTGGAAGTTTTCTTGTTAAAAAATAGCTAATCCGCCTCGGTCCTTTGCCGGGGTCTCTACATCTGCATTCACATGTTAGCGCATTCACAGGCTCCGCCGACGAGATGGGAGCGAGCTTGCACTTCGAGCCGCCAGAGCCTCTTGGACACCACAGTGCTCAGTGATCACTGGGAGCATCTCAGGTTCTTCGTTCCCCGGGAACCCGTGCTGCATGAGCCACGGCATCGGGAGGAGATAACGCTTGCTGCTGGCTTGTGGAAGCCCGGACCTGGGATGGCATCCCTTGTGGCCACCGTTTCCCCGTCGGCCGCGGGGAATTCTGCCCTGAAGCTGTCTATGCTTAAAATACCCGCAGACCCCAGAAGCAGTCAGTCAGCCGACTCCACTCGACTCCCATGCCAGTTCCAACAAACCACCTCTGCGAGATCAACTGCATGCTTCCAAGCGCTAGACTTAAACCCCAAGCCGGAAGTTAGACTCCCAACCTCAACCCTCAGCGAGAGTTTTCGGCCAGCATCGACGCGCTTCAAGCTACCCAGATCCAGCACCCTGCACCGACCCGAAATCTTTAAGCACCAAGCCACGGCCGCATTGTAGCCACGTTGTAGCCATGCCCCAGCGTGGCGTTTCGAGCTGTGGTGCTGTCCACCACACTGCACCTGCGGACCGATCCAGACATCGAGGATCGTGGGTTTTGGGCTCTTCGGGTTGTAGGCTTACGGGCTGTGAGGTGTTCAGAGTTCGTGAGTTCGCGAGTACAGAGAGCTCTGCAAGAGATCTTAGCGATACCACGGTTCTGGTGACCTCGTGGTTCAACGCCCACGAGGTTCACAGGCAGTTGTCGTGAGCAGGGACCAGGGGCCACGAAGCTCGAACGGCTCGAAAACTGCCCCGCGGAACAGGCTCCGAGGTCTTGAACTTTTGCACCCGTTTGCTCGGTGGTTTCAGCATCACCGATGGCGGCAATATGCAGCAAGCAAGAACGGACTCGATGAGCTATAAACGTCGTCGTGTGCATCACGTGCAGGAGGTGTGTGACTGCTGAAGACCATGTTGGCTGGCCTATCATTTGGCAAATCGAAAGATAAAGAGGCCCTTTTTCGGAATGGGCTTCTTGCATCCTGTGACGGTGCTAGCTAGCACTCAGCGTTGAAGCTGACCGCAGGAGAAAGATGATAAGGATGAAAAGGTGAAGAGCAAGCCTCCATCTCAGCACCCAATCTTGCATGACCAACCGTCTGTCAAGACAGTCACCAAACGAATGGTGCTTCGTCAAGCTTGTTGTCTTGCGCATCGAGGAAGGACAAGAAGAAAGAAAAACGAAAAGAGCAAAAGAAGGAGCAAAAGAAGCGCTGCCTGGCCTTTTCATTGCAATGTTTGGTGAAGTTGGGTGCCATCTAGCTGCTGACAAAAACAATGGCGTTGAAGCAAGATCCTGATCGATGCTGCCCGTGGCTTTCGTTCTTCAAAAGATCTCACCAACTGCATTGGCCCCCTTGTGTCTTCCAATCGGTGCCAACTTTGTGTTTCTTTTTTCAATTGTCCTTGAACGACGGTCGATGATATAAGCACACATGCTTTGAGCTCGACACCTTGCTTCAGCTCACGATTGCTTTGTTTTCGCTCATTCGTTTTGCCTAGGGCTTAGCTTTTGCTTTGTAACTTGCTGCTATCGCATCTCAGCCATCGTATGTATCGCATCTCAGCCATCGCATGTTTCCTGCTGCGATAGCCCGAACTTCCCCACTCCGTCAACGAATCCGGGATTCGGTACAGATGTCAACTGACGTGGGATGCGTTGAGGGTGAAGAGTTTTCTGAGAGTTCGTGAAAGTTGGAAGGCTGGGGTTCGAGGTTTTGATGCAGTGTGAGACCCTTCTCAGCCTCTGACCGCCAGCCTCGAAGGGGCGAAAGGGTTGACCTGTAGTGACGTACGGGTGCCAGAGCTCCTGAAGACTTCTTCTCCTTCTCTGTCCTTGCGTCCCAGCTCCGCAACACATCGGCATGCAACATGATCGTCGGTGGAAGTTGGTGGCACATCATTGAGTCTGCACCGCTCCTGCTGTCCTCTGCTTCAAACCGAGGCACGCAAGCAGACAAGGACCAGAACGAGAAAGACCCGGAGCCGAAGGACACAGAGCAAGACAATGAGCTCGCTGCAGCTGAGGTTGCTTGGCGGTCCTAGAATCAGTGCATGCTGGCTGCTGTGCGAAGGTTAATCTGCAATGTGTGCGAGTGTCGGGGATGCTACAACATGTCTGAGTTTTTGTTTACATGCTAAAGTCGTTCACGATCACAGTGGATTATTATGAGACTCCTGTACATTCGAGAGGAGCATATCAAACCATACATGTGTGCGTCTGTGGCGGGCGCATAACGTGTGTTTGTTTGCGTTTGCATGTTGTCTATGCGTGAGAAACCCACTATGTTTGGAGAAGACCACAAAGTCTTCCGAGTGCGTCCGCCGGGGTGCTAGGGGATTGCAGAGGGCTGGCACCAATCTTTCTGCTTTGCTGTCCAAGCTGTGCAAAGTTCATACTCGCTGTGAAACGCTGGGGGGTGCTGTTCTCCTTAATGCCATACGAGCTCGTGGAAAGTGACTGTAAGGGCTTCAAGCCTTTAATGATTTGAATGCTTGACATGCTCAAGATAGACGTTTTGGAGGTTTTGCCTTGATGGTGAACAGTACTGCAGTGGTAATGGTGGCTATCAGTGGCAACCTGGTATCCATGCATAATCAATGACTTACCCACACGACTACCTTTCAAACACTCCACTTCCCTATACGTGGGACAGGCTCGAAGTGTGTGTGAAACAGCTGCTGCTTTCACCGGAGGGCCCCTTGCTTCTCTCGCTACGACTGCGGCTCCACTGTGTCCCATTGTTTACTTGCGAATTTGCACATAGCCTGCTAAGGATATTTATTCCTGCTCCGACGAGGACAGCACATACAAGCCCTCCCCCATATCGCAGTTGCATAAGTCCAGACCTTTTTCCGCCGATAGGGAGGGGGAATCTCTTGCTCCGAAGCTCGTGAGCAACATGGAAATGCTAACGGATCTGCAGCTACAAGAGCGATGGCTGGACCCAATTCTCAAGCGACGTTGCAAGCACAAGACCTGGCTTGTGACATCTTGGAGCTTGCTGTGTTTGGTTGACACTTCTGATTCAGTCACACAGCACTCACCAGCAATCATCCTAGAGCAGGTTGTTGATCATTGGGTCACAAACAGTTTAAGTTTTGAGAAAGTTGCGATGCCTCCATGGAGAGTGGTCTATCTGAGAGTGACTGTACGGGTGCAAGTGTGTAGACCTCCTCAGTGCTTGGAATGCTCGGTCTTCATGCTCGGTTCGGCGTGCCAAAAAGTTCTGGAAAGCTGGGCCTCCCCAGCTGGGCTTTCTGCTTGCCTCAGGTAGATTTCTTCGGTTCTATGGGCAAAGAGCGCTTGCAGGGTGCTCGGTGCATCTCGGCGCAGTTGGTCTGAGTGCACGAGTGCATGCAGAGGAAGGAGGACAAGCTGAAGCCAGATCCTGAAAAAGCGAAGGCCAGGCATGTTACGGAAAGTTCTGACCCAAAATAGACCGCAGATGGCAACCTCTCCGACCATGATCCTCATGGCTTGCTTCCCTAGGTCAGTGAAAAGGAGTACAACCCGTTCCTCCGTGGGGAAGAATCTAACCTTCCTGCTGATCGCTGAGCTTTTTCACAAGTACAATCAAGTACATGCAGCAAGCTGCCCTCTCGTCTGCTGGCACGGTCTACCAGGTTCCGGAGTCGGCAAGCGCCAGCTCCATTCCAAAGCATTTGTGCTCTTAGCTTAGCCGTGTGCCATCGTGTGCCATCATGTTTCTATTCAAGCCTGTGCTGCTCCATGTACTCTGTAGGTGTTGGGCCTGCTTGGGCCGCGAAAAACGACTGGAGAAAGCGCATGCAGAATCGCAAGGAACCGTGTTTTCCTGCACCCGACTTGCACACCATTCTGCGCACAACCTGTGCATCTCACGCAAGGATTCCAACAACGACAGAGACCAGAGGGCCGAGGCAGGCACCAGGACTCCCAAGGGCTCTTGCAGACCCCTCCACCTGCACAGGCGCCAGACCACAGGGGCCTCAGCCTCGTCCGAGCTCAGTCCGGCAGGGCCAAGATTTGCGCACAAAGGTCGAGAGAAGGAGGACAAAGCTCGAACGGGTGTGCCAGACCCTCTGCTGGCAGGGCAGCTGGCATGTTAGAGCATCGCTTTGCTGGAAAGTCAAGGACCGGAGGCCCAAGTGGCGGTGGCTGGCGGGCAAAGAAAGCTGCAGTCGCCGAATCCTCACTGAATTCCTATGTCCTATGGGCACGTTCTCAGGGTTCAGATGCGAAGGTGAGGCGCTCGCGCAGCCGCAGCCAAAGCCGACGCCGCAGCCGGAGCCGGAGCCGGAGCTCGGGCCGTCGCAATTCTCGACGGCAGCGCCACCGATCTCGATCGAGGTGCTTTGTCTAAGTGTCACCAAACACCAGTGGAGCCATCCCCATTCCTTCTCTAGAATCTCAGGTCGTCCGGCAGTTCGCAGCGTTCTCATGCGTGCTGGGGTGTTCCACTGGAGTGTTGCTGCCGGTATTTGCCAATGCCCTTCAGGTCTTCGGCGAAGGAGGCTGAGCGTCGGAAGGAGCAGGCAGGGAGCAGTTTCCTGCGGTATATTGGGGGACGGATGGGGACGGTGAAGCCCCTGGCAGGTTGCGAAAGCGGTGCTTGGTCGAGTGAAGGCTGCCGAGGCCCAGGAAGAAGCCGAAGGCGATGGCGATGCAGACGAGGCACTCGGAAGGGCGAAATGCACATGTGTTCGCGTGACAACAGCGTCTCTGGCAACAGGTCATCCGCAAGTTGCAGTCGCGCGCTCAATCTTGCAAGGCTCCCCTTCTGAGACCTGTGGTACTTTCCCATTGTAAGGTCCAAGTACAGCAAAGGTGCTGGCAAGCAAGAGGGTGTTGGGCTGGCAGCATCCGCAGAGGATCAGCTCAACTTGAAAGTCGCGGTTTTTGCTTACCTGCTCTTGACGAGGACGTTGAAGATGACATCGATCCCAACAAGCTGGGTGCTCTTGCCATGGAAGCCATGTTGAGTCGGGGCCCAGGAATTAGTTGTTGTTACTTTGCGACGTGGAGTGGCAAAGGTGGCGACATGGCTCGCTACGAGGAGCTGAACCGACGCCTCGAAAAGCACCAGGCAACGGCCGGCTGGAGCCTGAAAGCCCAAACCATCCAAAAACCCGCCTCGGTATGCCCGTCTGAGGTGAGAAGCCCAAGGCTTTCACTTTGCCTCCTCCAGAGCCTGCCGAGAATGTCAAGGCAAGGGCTTTCCAAAAGCGCGAGATATTGCGAGGTGTACGGTGGCACCTTTATTCGGCCCCATAAAGAAAACAGTTGTTTGCTTGGCTGTGCGAAGGTTCTCGAGCAGGTGGATGCAGCTGGGAGGAGCAAAAAGCTGGTTGAGTCAGCACAAAGCTTAACATCCTTAACATGTTAGCCAATCTGCTCCCAACTGTACTAAGCTGCAGTTCTCAAACTCGGGACAATCAGGTCCAGTCTGCATCGGTCCACACCAAGGGGAGAAACAAAAGAGGCGCCGTGGCACGCGCGTGGCTGTGGAATCTGCGAGCGAGCCATTCTTCAGTTTGGTTTAGCATCTGCGAGGCACTGCCAATGCGGTTCCAGGTGGCAAGGACAAGAAGGGCTCGCAAGGCACGTGCTGGCGCCAGCCGGCTGCAAGTTCTCCACGCGTGTGCGTGCCAGCAGTTCAAGGCTACTACGAGGATGACGATGTCTCCCTGCAAGAACTGATCCGCCGCGAGCGCATCGAAGGAGTCCAGGCACGGCTGGCATCACCCTGTCGAAGCGAATGTAGCCGAGTCTTTCGCGTGCCTCTTTCGAGCTTACTGGAGGACTATGATGCCAATCTAGAGAAGCACATCTTGAAGAGGGGTGACCGCTTCAAGATGTTGGAAGATGACGAAGACGAGGCATTGGGCCTGTGTCTTGCTCTTTCTCCCCTCACTTTCGTTTCGCCCTCCCTCCCTCCCCTCCCTCCCCT